AGCTATTTTATAGGCCAGTTCAGTGGCACAGTGATGCTGTTGCTTTGGAAATGCTGGATCCCACCTAGTGATTGTGGTTTGAATCCCCAGCCTGGTCAGCCTGAGCCATGTGGGGCAGGCATGCCAGCACCCAGGATCCTACTGGCTGGAGGACAGGAGGAAGGGGATCGGGTGTGACCAGATCCTATGGAGGGTATTCATCTCTCTCTGTCTCTTTCTTTCTTTCACTCTCACATGTGTGCATGTGCTCTATCACGAATAAGAAAAAAGTTTTTTAAAGAAATCAGTTTTATATACAGAAACTTATGTTCTTATTTTATCCTTAGACTAAGTGAAAAACTGACTAAAATGTTCTCATCTGTGTCTTTGTAATAAACATGTAAGTACATATTTACAGTGGAAATGTCTTCTGATAGAAAATACACACACAATGCATCTATTTTTGAAGATGATGTGATACATCATGTTCATCCAAACTTTAATTTTCTTTTTATACACATAACCCAAATAATTATTTTACTTGTATACTGCTTCATTCTGTATTTATATGTCCTTTAAGAAAGATCCCTTAATCCAATAGTAGGGAGTTTAAAAAGTTTTTCTACAATCATGTGCAACTTTTGTCCTTCATCTGTATTACAAATACTGATTAGATATACTTAATCTTTGTTGTTCATCTGCCAGGGGTAACTCTTGATTTATTTTAGGTGACATAAGTGCCATCTTTGCAGTATTTCATTGACTGCTTTTGTTCTGTCATAGTAAGCACATCACGACATGCAGTACTTGGGCCAGACATATGTTGAAAGTATGCCTCTTTTTCCACTTGATTGTTAAATTGTTTACACCAGCATTTTAAAAGTATTCCGGTAACCTATTGTACTATTCTTTGTTCTAGCACATAGGATGTCACTTGCATGTGAATTATTCTTGCCATAATATTGGCAGAATGATGCCCAAAATTAGGGTTTCAAAATAATATTAATCCTTCAACTTTAGGCTATTTTTCTAAAGCATTCTGCAGCTTTTACTTATTCTAGTGGTAGTCTCAGCAGTGGAGCCAGACAGGCATCCCTCATGTCAGAATTAATGCCTCTGCCTGCAGATCCATGGCCTTGGCTTTGCCCAAGGTTACTGTGCCCAGTCATAAAGTGTGAATGGCTCTGATCAGATGAATGACAGCTTCCTTGAGATGCTCCATGGGTGTGGTTATGGGCCTGGCTAAAGCACAGATACCAAGGAGGTTTACCCTCAGCTCTCCAGCTGAGACTGGTGTGAACATGTGTGTCTAATTCCAGAGGACCAATCAATCAAGCCACTGACTCCACAAACACACAGAAAAGCTATTACTATCAGAAAACGTCCATTAACTCCATAGAGAATTTCTATTTGACCATACCCCTAAGAGAAAAGTAGAATGGCTTTCTATTTACTTTTCAGGGCACTGAAACATCTTATGACCAAAGAAAAATAGTCAAAGAATGTGTGAAATCCATTTGAGATCAAACCCAGATTGTTGGTCAATATAACACAGAATAATTCCATAAAAGTGAAAAGCAGATTCAAGTATAAGATGTAAAAGATCTGCTTGGAATCATTCTCTTGCTTCATTGTTTAAGACACTTGTAGTTGGAAATTTTGTTACGTGTAACTGCAAACGTCCTAGCTAATACAAACCCTGATAATACATGTAGGTGCACTTCTTCACTCTATTGAGAAAAGACAATGTCCTTAAATCACAGCAAACATGTGGAATCAAGTGGGAGGAGTGGAAGTAACCAAAATGTACTAAATAATAATTATTATTTTATAGAATTTTACATGTTTTGCTTAGTGTAAGCAAAAGTATATTTCATTTTATGTAGATAGACTTTGTACTTGAAATATGATTAATAACATTAGCAAAAATTAGAAGTAAATTAGTTGAATTATTATATATTCCACTTTCCATGATCTATTTTAATGCATGACTAATCTAGAAATCATGATTTTGTTATAGAAACAGCTCAAAACAGATAAGCTCTCTTAAGTCTGTTTCCTTCATAAAATAAAAGATTAGGGTTATCTAGATTAAATGTCTTCTCAACAATTTCTTCCACTTTCTTT